CCCTGGACAGATCGCCAGTCTATCACAGGGCTACACTTAGAGACAGACAACCAAGCACACTCACATTCACACCTACAGACAATTTTAGAATCACCAATCACCAACTGTGTGGGAGGAAGCCAGAGAACCCGGAGAGAACCCACACTGCACAGGGAGAACATGCAAAGTCCACACAGAAACATCCCAGGTGTCCACAACGGGATGCAAACCAGCGACCTTCTTGCTGTGAGGCAACAGTGCTACCAACTGTGCTGCCCTGCAGCCCCAGAAGTATATACAGCTATAGTTTTCTTCTTCTTCTTCTTCTTCTTCTTCTTCTTCTTCTTCTTCTATTGATTTGGCAACATTCAGGTGCATTACCGCCACCTACCAGACAGGAGTTACCTATAGTTTTGCAAGATCTGGCAAAAGATACCTCTGTATTTTTTTCCTCTCCTTGTTTTTTTTTCTTTCTCCATGTTCTGGGCCTCCGTGTGATAAATATGTCCTTTAAAAAAACTTTATCTAAATATTTGTTAGCACATTTTTTGTCTGTAATGTTCAAATCTCCAATCCTTAAGTTTGGAAGTTTAATTTGCGCATTAGAAAAAATAATCTTTTTTTTTATATTCTTCTTCTTCTTCTTCTTTGAAAACACACTCCTTCTACAGCTCCTCCACCTCCATGTGGACGCCGGCCTCCCCAGCCCTCCCCTCCTGCCGGCCCTGTCCTTCCCCCGGCTCGTCCCTCCCTCCTCCAGGCGGGTCTGACCTCCTCTTATCCCGCCTCCTGCTCGGCTGCTGCCTTCTCTTTTCCCTACAACGCTGATGTGTTACTAACTTCAGCCTTCAAGTCTGCAAAAATGTTCAATTTCGGCTCCAAGTTGTTGCTGCTTTTCCTCCTGGCCTTCCCCTGCGGACTCATATCCATCGGTGAGCGTTTTTATTTCGCTTTAAATCAGACGTTTTAAGCAGGTCGCTTTACTTGGGTAACAGTGAAAAAGTTCTTAGAGTAACATATTGACGTGGCACAGTGTCCCAGCTGAACACACACGGCTTCCCTCGGCGCTGCTTTTACTATTAACGCCAATATAAAGAGGATTTATTCATTTATACACGTGCAGTTAGATGACTTAAGTTGTAGCTCGTCGCTGCTTTTGCTCTGAAACGGAAGGAAAAGAAAACAGATGCTCATTCCTGTAAAGCGCAATAAACTCAAACACTTTGTGTACCGTTTAATTTGGCCTGTAGGGTTTCTTAGAGGTGGTTTAGATTACATTTTAAAAGTGTTTGGAGGTGAAACAAGCAGCCAGCGGCTCTCTGTTACTGGGACACGTCACCATAGATAAGATGGGAACTAATGTTTGGGTTTGTTGGTTTCTCTTCGGCGGTGTTTCCCGCTGACATACAATAAAGTGGATTTTGTTTTTCTTTTAAATTGCTGCAGTTTGTTTTAGATTGTTCACAAATTTCCAGTTTGTCTGCAGGCAGAGAAATAACCTGACAGCAACGTATCAGCAGTAAATTACAATGTGTGAAAAATAATTCAGCATTTTTTAAATTGAAATGTCAAAGCTAGAAACCATATAAATGCACTTAAAACAGCATTTTTATTTGATTTTTTTACAAAGAATTTAATTTGCTCATTGATTTTGCTTTGCTGTTGGCAATAGTTGTTTGCTCAGTATATTGAATTTGCTGAGCGGTGAGTGATGTTCTACCAGCAACCAAAGATAGGTTTTTTTTTTCAGTTAAAGTCTGAATAATAGGTCAAAATAAAACAAAATATGTATTTTTTATGATATTTATTACAGTTTTCAGTCATTTTCACAGCTGTACCGATCTTTTCCTCTAAAAAATAACTCGCTACAACACTGGTAATATTGACAAACTCCACAAAATACCTTAATACAGACATTACTTGATATATTTCAGCCACATTTCAGTGATTTGCAAAAGATATGCCCACTGAAAAACATTTTTCAAAATGTGTTGCATTCACCAAATAATGACAAATGTTCAAAGATTGCTAGCCGACAATCCACACTCACAACTGTAACTCCAAGAAGCTACCTTTCATGAGTACAGTGACATAACAGCCAAAATCCTGGATGATATAATTTCATAAACCTGTTTTCCAGCTCCCATATTAACTGCTGTGCCTTCTGACCTTTCAGGCCACGTCTCTGCAGACTCAGACTCTGCCGAGGACATCGTCGAGGACCCAGATGCTGCAGTAGATGAGGAGGATGACGATGAGGAAGACGTGCTTGTTGAAGAGGATCACATACAAACTTCGGTACGTGCCAAGTCTCTGATCACGTAGAAGCTCTGATTGTACACGCAGGTGGTTACACTAAAATGTCACGTTGTCTTCGTCATCAGGAAGGAGATGAAGAGGACTCAGACGAAGCTGCTGATAAACTTTTAACGTCTCACCCTGATGCCGACACCACCATCATCTTCACAACAGGAGAAGGTTGGTGTAGCTTTTTTGTTTTATTTTACAGCATCCACCTTCAAATAAACAGTGAAATGAAGAGATAATTGTTAAGAAAACTGAAGCATAAAGTGAATTCAGCACTCTGAGCTGCTTCTGTTTTTATGGAGCGACACCTGAGGCAGTTCTGTGGTTTTGTTGGTACATCTAATACTTAAGTAAATGTTTTTAATATCATGTATTATTCATTTGTGTTCATAATACATCTAGAGTTTCCTGCCAATGAAATTGTGAGGTTCCTGGTGGGTCTCACCAACAAGGGAAGTCAGGATTTCACTGTTCAGTCTTTGGAGGCCTCCTTCCGTTACCCCCAAGACTTCCAGTTCTACATTCAGAATGTAAGTCTGATCTGAAATCAGTATTTTATCTAATGCAGTCATTTGTTGTTTTACTTACACCGTGAGATTATAAAGAGTCCTCTATTCGTTGTGTGAAAACTCTGTGACTGTATAAGACAGTACCTTAAATATCCTTTTGGATAATGTGGAGTTTTAAAAAACTTTAAAAAAAAAAGCTTCACATCTGCCATAAAATAAATGAACCCCAATTAAAATCAGATTTGTTACAATTGTTCTTTTTTTTTTTCCTTTTTTTAATTTAGTTTTCATGATTGCCTTTTTCTTATTCTTAGTGGACCCAGTTTTTTTGCTTTCTCTCATTTCACTGACCACTATAAATGCTTCTGGACTGTTATTTATTCATGTTTGTGTTTGTAGTTCACAGCTTTGCCCCTGAACACTGTGGTCCAGCCTCAGGCCCAGGCCTCCTTCGAGTACTCTTTCATCCCAGCTCAGCCCATGGCCGGTCGTCCATTCGGTCTTGTTATCCTCCTCAACTATCTTGACTCTGAGGTAAAGCATGTTGAAATCACAGATTTATTTTTTTTGTTTGGCTGTTTTAGCGGATGCTTGATGTCTGTTGCGGTAGATTTTTTCTTTTATGCAGTGGCTGGAGGCAATATTTCTCTTTTGTTGTCTGTCGCATTCTTATAGATGCAATATCTCAGGAACGCCTCGAGGGAAATTCTTCAAATTTGAAACAAACATTCACTTGAACTCAAGGATGAACTGAATATAATTTGATGGTCAAAGATCACTGTTACCTCACTAAAGATATTTTTTGCCCAGAATGCATGTACTAATTATGACAAACTCCCCTCAAATGTCTCATAGAATTAATTGATGACATTTAATGTCCAAATGGGCAGCTTCTACCGTGTTTCATATCGTTCTACAAAAACATTTTCCAAGCCATAATTCAGCATCATAACTGAGCAACAGAGGGAGAGATTGTGACCGTATTTCACATTTGTTCAGATACTGAATCTGTGACTCTAATCTCGGTTGCCGACCTTGAAACTGAGGTGATTCTATAGATCTTCTGTGCTGTCGGTGTTGACGATGTGTGCGAAGTATCCATATTTTTGAATTTGTAGCTTCTTCGCTGCAACATCCATATATGAAGGGTTCTCTACTGTCATGGATACAACTTTCTCTTCTATCAGAGTCAGCTTTATTGTTTGAATAAAAATACACCTCATACCTTTTCATTAACTCTCTTTACTATGTGAGTCTGAGCACACATGGATGTGAACTTCCAGCCGTGAGGCAGTAATTCTAGTTTCAGAGGTAAGATGTAGCGTGATGATACTAGACGGTAACTGTCAGAAAGATTTTTCACAGCCCATCTAAAATTTTCATGATTCATGAATATTAAAACCTGAAAAAGCCATCGTCAGCAAAGCAGCTTGTCAACAGCTCTGTTGTTTTTTTCATTTTCGTATAATTGGGATTACTGGTTGCTCCTTACTGTCATTATTTCTTTGAGTGCTATTTCCACATTATAAACAAGTGTTGAGTCATTTCAAGTTGTTGTTTTTTTGGGTTTTTTTTAAAAGAAAAGCTCCAGTAACTTACTGAAAGTTTAAGGTACTTGTTTACTTACTATGTTTGCATTTTTTTTCTTCAGGGCAGCGTGTTCCAGACTGCCATTTATAACCAGACAGTCACCATCACTGAGAAAGAAGAAGGACTGGATGGAGAAACGTAAGACTACCCTCCTCTGGATCTTTGTTCTATCTCGTCATGTACATACTTACAAAAAATGCAGATTTATCCTTGTTATTTCACTGTGAAAATGGAAGGAAGACTGCAAGCAATAGCGTATCATCAAAATGACTAAAACAGAAAAGGCAGTAGGTGGACGTATTAAACCAATTTCTGCATCTCACTTCAGCGTGTATAATGTATAAATCCGATCATTTCTCCAACCTTTTATTTATTATTGGTGTCCCTTAGGCTTATCCTGTTCTCTAAGGCTTCACAATAGCAGCTCTCCCAGACTATTGCAGCGCATGTAAAAACCTGTAAAAGGAGGTGTGAAATTGGCACAAAGAGATTAGCTGTCAGGATCGTGCTGCTAGTGCAAGACACACAAACTGTCACCAGCAAACCAGGCAAGCAAAAGGAAGCGTGTTCTTTCCTAAAACCTCAAATCGAGGAGCAAATTTGTCGGATTAGTCTTTATGCTTCAGTTTTAAGCTCTGACAATGAGGAGCTGCTTGCTGTTTTTGTTGGGCTGTTGTTGGGCTTTTGTTATTTATTAAGTAAACAAATAATTGCGTTTGTGTTTGCAGAATGTTCATGTACGTGTTCCTGGTTGGACTGGTGTCCCTGATGCTCTTTGGCATCTACCAGGTCCTGGAGTCGAGGACAGTACGTGTTTGTCTTTTCATCTGCTCTGTTTTTGTTTTTTTAATGTGGAGATATTTAGTGTAAGCATGAGCGTAGGAGATGGAATGAGAAATCCTCCTTTGTTGTAGCAATGCAAGTAAAGAAATATGTTTGTGTGAAGTCAAATGATGTACTCCGACTTCACCCAAACACATACATTGAGATTGTAGCTGGGTAATGGATGAAACAGAAAATTAGACGTGTTGTTGACTTTCAACCTGTGTTTTGCAGAAAAAGAGGCTTCCTGTGAAAATAGAGAAGGGCACTGGTGGGATTAATGATGTGGACATCAGCTGGATTCCTCAGGAGACTCTCAATGTCATGAGTATGTTCATTTTTATCCTCATGAGTAATGCAGCTCTGAATCATTTTATTTGACTCAACATCACTTTCTTTTTACTTGTTTGATAAGGTGACCTTTTGGTTATATTGCTGTTAGAACTCCAACAGCCTACAGTATCTGATCTTTGCATCTTGTCTTACAGACAAGGCTTCTCCTAAAACATCTCCAAGGAAACGAACCAAGAGGGCAGCTGGAGCAGATCAGTAAACTGGTCCGTTTCCATCCATCATCGTGCTGTCTATCAGACTTTGAAAGCGCCTCGCTACACTTGTAACAGTTCCCATTTTGAAAGGATCAACATTTCTGGAATTCAGTTTTCAGCCCGAGCAGTGAATTTAGGATGTTTTCATGGATTTCTGCCTCTCAGTCGGATGTTTCTGCATTATCATGACCACAGAGTGTCCTGGACTCCAGAGTGCAACACATTTCAACACTATCGGGACTGAACTGTTTGTTTTAGGGACTTTTTTTTTTATCACTGTGTGTATGAAAGGTGATAAAAAATAAACCAATTCAAATAAAAAGGGATGTGGTACAAACTGCCCTCGAGAAGAGAGCTGAATTCATCCATGTGAACGCTGTGAGGTCGAAGCTGTTTTTATTTAGAGGTTTGTTATCTGGATTATTGGGATAAAATGGAATTTAAGACTTCAAACTATGAGCATTTTATTTGAGAAAGAGATGAATCCCTACCTTTCTTTAATCTGAACACCATTGTGCCTTATTTGTAAACTGCATTTGTGTTGCCCTGCAAAGCCTTAATGTTTAAAAAGAAATGGATGCAGTTGATTAAAAAATTCCCAGTGATACCCTCTGCTTTTAACACCCAGACACATGTGACCTGAGGTTTTATAAAGCTTTCATTTCGAGGAGACGTACATTTCAGAGTGGTGCAATGGCAGCTGCAAGCGCAACAAACATTAAAACAGTGTTCTCTTGACGTTTCTGCGGGTTCATTTACCAGATTTTTTATTTTTATTTTTTTTCACCTTACACTTGCAAGAACTTGGTGAAGACTTTCAAACATTTTACTGGGTGTTAATGATATGCGGCCTTTCAGGTTGTATGCCAGTATTTGTGATAAAAACACCTTTTTAAAAACAATAAAATGGTTGAACAAATTGTATTCTGTCTCATTAGTTGCTCTTTTAATTATTATACTGTTGTCATCTGCATTTTTTAGCAGCTCGTGCTTCCTGCAGTAATTGTTGCTGCAATCTTACGTTCGCAATTAAAATGACATCAATGGATGGTGTCATTTGAGGAAATGTTAACTGATAAATAAATAATCAGTGCCAAGCCACGGCACCCTCGACAGACATGCGGTGCACAGCGGGTCAGGCTAAATGTAGAAGACAGACTGGAGCTAGAAAGAAAACAATGTGAAACTTACCAGAAGCATTTCAGAATTCTTTAATATTGCTTTGAAGATAATATTAAAAATGCTGGCTGATAAAAGTGTCCTTCAGCTGAAGAAAAGGATCCAGAGGGTGAATCAGCTGCAGGTCCAGCATCACCAGCTAAACTGGTTTGATCGCTGTTGCTATTGTTATTGATGGAGATAACAATAAGCAGTAAGACCAGCCAGTCGCTATGAGTTTGTCGCAGGTTCTAGTTGTGTGTTTTTAGTTTTAATAGTAATGTGGTACTTTACTGTATATATTCTGATTCTGTCTTTCACTTCCTAAAGTGTTATGTTGCAACAGAGATGACAAAGACTAACTAATTCCTCTTCTGAAAGTAAAATAAGATTCCAGTGAGCTCCTAAACAGTCCATTAACATTTAAACAAAGGGTCATTTTTTTAAGTCTGTTTGCATAAGAGGGATTTATGTATTTCTTTTAACTTCAAAAATCCCAAAACTCTAGTTTATAACCATACACTAATTGTTTTCCCATGTAGGGGGCAGACTTATTTGTCTTTCTCCCTTTTGTCTGGTGCCTGAGGTTTGAAAAAGAAGAGAAAAAATGGTGATAGAAGTTAACAGATCTGTTGTAAGTCTTCAGGTACTATCCAGGTAGAAACAGCCATAATTAAATCTAACAAAGACGCATAACAAGTTGTCACCATGTATTTCTTCTCACGCTACAAAAAGTCTCTGGGGAGTTTTAACCGACTTACATTGCATCCTTTTTTATAAAGTTCATTTATTGAGTTGAGTGAACTCTCAGCACGTCATTCATTCAACTGATCATTATAAGCCAAGCCATAGGAACTTGTGTTTTTAGGTTTAAAAGGTAAGAGAATAAGATGAGATCAGATGATAAAAATCCCAATATATGACATAACATACAAATAAAATAATACAATGAAAACAAACCTACCACACATACAGTAAGTCACAAAAGGGTTAAGGCATCCATCCATCCACCATCTATATACACTGCTTAATCCTCACGAGGGTCCCAGGGGGGGCTGGAGTCTATCCCAGCTGACTCAGGGTGAAGACAGGGGACACCCTGGACAGGTCGCCAGTCTATCACAGGGCTACACTTAGAGACAGACAACCAAGCACACTCACATTCACACCTACGGACAATTTAGAATCACCAATTAACCTCAACATGTTTTTGGACCTTGTGGGAGGAACCTGGAGAACCCGGAGAGAACCCACGCTGCACGGGGAGAACATGCAAACTCGGGTGTTCTCACCAGGATGCGAACTGGCGACCTTCTTGCTGTGAGGCAACGGTGCTAACCACCGAGCCACCTTGCAGCCCAGAGTTAAGGCAGTGCTGGAAAAAAATGGTGGCCACAAAAAATATTGACACTTTGGGCCCAATTTGGACATTTTCACTCAGGGGTGTACTCACTTTTATTGCCAGCGGTTTAGACATTAATGGTTGTGCATTGAGTTATTTTGAGGGGACAGTAAATTTCCACTGTTATACAAGCTGTACACTGACTTTCGTGACATACTGTAGTCCACAGTGGAACATAACACAATAATACATAAAGCAATGTAGTCAAATAGGAATTACACATTTTCAATTCAATTCATCAGAAAATGGCAAAAATCATATATTTGTCATAAGTAAACATGAATTAAAGGATGAGTTGATTTGACTACATTCCTTCATGATGTTTTAAAGTGCACTCAGACTAATGAATGAACTACTGAAGTTTTAAACATGTATATGAAAACATACACAACATATCATATATGTCCCCTCCTAGAGTGTCCCACTCACACAAATAAAGAAAAATAAATGACATGACAGTAATAATTATAATAATAAATAATAGCACATAATAAATTGACTGGAGTAAATTAATAATTAAATAAAAAGTAAATATGACAGAATAGCAAATTAAACAGCCATTGACAGGTTCCAAAAATAAATAAATAAATAAATAAACAACAGCGTAAAAGAAATAAAATGAAATAATTAAAAATGGATTTTTTTTTTTTTAAAAAGAAAGAAAATAGGATATTTAACTGACTTGTATTATTGTTGACTTCAATAAATCTGATTAGATCTGCAACAATAATATACAATAATGCTAATATTTATTTTAATTCTTTTTTTTTTTTTTAGGCTCTGTTAATGTAAAACCAAATGACAGCATCCCACTCTGGAGCCCAACTGTAACACCTATAGATGCCGTGACACAAGATGTGAGTCTATAAAGTCCGTAAAGTGTGTGACCGGCGACAGGAGTGTGAAGGTTGCGGGAGCGTTGCGCGGTGGTTCCGGGAGCTGTCCGGTGCTGAGGGGGGGAAGATGAGCTCAGCGCCCGCCGGGGGGCAGGTAACGTCAGCAGTCGGCCGGAGCAGGGAAATACTGTGCACACACACCTACCAAGTGTTTATCGGCTGCTCAATCACTGATACAACATTGATAATGGGCAGCTAATCGGCTCCGTGTGACTCAGCTCCTGCCGCTTCTTCTTCTTCTCGTCCCCCGTCCTCCGAGCGCCTCCATCGGCTGCATCCCGCGCCCTCCGCCTGGCTGGAAATGGGATGATATGGGATTTTTCATGTCGACGAAGATCGGAGGGATTCTTGCCTTTGCCTTGGGTAAGAGATTTTTTTTTTTTATCCGAAGCTCCTCTCGTTGTTGCATTTTGTGCTTCGAGCCACTTGGGATGGTTTTTTTGACACAGAAAGCATCCCCCCCTTTTTTTCTTTTCTTTTCTTTTTTGTTTGTTTCTTTCTTTATCATCCCGCATCATAATGTCGATGCTGTGACTGTAATCTTTATTTATCTCCATCAGTGTTGCATGATGCTTATGAGACCTGTACGACGGCCAAGTGCTTGTAGTACAGCCAGAGACGACGGATCCTGGGTGTCTATACTTAGTGTGCAAGCTTTTGGACGTGAACCACTGAGAGAGAAAAAAAAAAGGAGGGAAAGCAAGAATTTATTTATTTATTCTTAAATTCTACTATTAGTTGGTGCCTTATTTGGTGCATACTGGTCGCATTCCTCCACAGAATTTGGAGGTTTATTATTAGTGTATTTTATCATTTCAATTTCGGACAGAACATTGCACTCCATGTGGAAGAGATGTATGGGCTGCAGTGGTCAAGACTATTCTCTGTGGTGACATCTGCTTCCCAGCCTGCCGCCTACTGACATCTGTCCACAGTGAAGTTCAGATGGCCAGACTGCAAAATCTTTACATTCACTTTTTTTTTTTGTGCTTATAATGAAATCACACAATAGTAACCTATTAATCTTATTTTTCAAAAGTTGCACGATCATGAATGTTTGAAGCTTCTATTATACGTGTGTAGATGGTCTGACATCCTACAATCCTATCCAAAGACTCAATGAAATTTTATAACTCTGCTTGTACGCATGCAAACTATTATCCAGTCAAAGAAATCCGTCCCCCTGTCCCTCCTGTTTTGCAGTACTCCTCTCCCTCATGGCGTCAGGAGACTCTGCAGATGTGAGGTGTGAGAACATTTACAAGGACTTTTCCGACTGTGTCCTGGAGCTGGGAGAGAGCATGGACAACTACCAGGAGAATGTGACCAGCGAGAGGGGAGTGGCAGCTGTGTGCAGGTGATAATAACTTTAGCAGTAGGAGAGCAAACCCATTTGTGCACACGGGAATCCCAGTGGAGTTTGTGTGTTTTTAATCCGAGCTGCTTTGATGGGTAGAATAAAAATCTTCACAAAAAAATTAAACAAGTGATCTATGAGATTGTGCACAAAAACGCATTTCAATTCAATTGGTAGGTTATGAAATAATGTGTGATTGAGTGCAATAATAAAGATATGAGATATGCATCTCATAAGAAAATACTGGAGAGAAAAGAGCAGATGCCACAATCTCAGAGGGAGAATAGAGAAATGAATGGTGCTGAGACACTGAGCCATTGTACTAAATAATTTATGACTTTCGCTGCAGCAGTAATGAAATTCCGGGGACGTTTTTTGTCATTGTTACTGCACGCACCCTTACAACCCCGGCACAGTATATTGAAGACAAAGATTTACACTTAGGCCTTCTGCTGAAAATTGCCCACTTGCAATATCATCTGTGATATTGTTTCACTCTCTGATGCAGTTGCCATGGTAATTAAAGCTCAGTTTGACTTACTTGAAGCCATCACGGCCATCTGAGTGATAGATTATTGGCAAGCGAATTAATCCACGACAGCCATCGCATGTCTGCATGCTGTTGCGGGGATGAATTCCTAGTGAAATGTCAGACGCGGCATTGATCTGATGATCCTGTGTTTACCACAGCCACTGGGAAGCCTTCCACACATGTGCCCTCACAGCGCTGTCCGACTGTCAGGAGGAAGTCAGCTCCATCTGGGAGACGCTGAGGCAGGACTCCAGGAAGATACGCTTCCAGGGAAGTCTGTTTGATCTGTGCAGCCCCAGCTCCTCTCCCAGCATAAGTTCGCCTCTCGCTGCTCTCACCCTGCCGCTGATGGTGGCCATGACCGGGCCCAGCTGGTCCCCTGTATAGACGGAGCAAAGGGTGAGGAGACGGGAGGGCCTTCCCCCGGGGTTCAGCCCTCCTGAGTTCAAACTTAAAGCCAAGGATTTAAGAGGGACAAATGTTTTGAGGGATTATTTTGACACAGAGCCACAGATGTCTGCGGTAAAGCCAATCAATATTTGCTGTGATGAATAATGTTTGAAATCCTCTCAAACACTCTTCAGCTTTTTCTTCCCTTATGTCGAGAAACTGGTGGAGCAGTGGAGAGAAAATTACATTTCCAATTTAGCATTCCAGGCAGATTAAAGCAAATGCTCGGATGTATTTAACGGATTTCGGTTACAATGTGATCAAAGTGTGATCAGTCTGCACACAGACACCTGTGGCTTTGCGTTACTATACAAGGGGTGGACACACTATCACGTATACCTGCACAGTCTGACACAGTCTGACACGATCCAGCACAGCCTTCAATGTAAACTACCTTTGAGGAGATTTCAATAGCACTCGTGGTTTTCACTATAGTATAAGACAGTACAGTGTTCCTCTTATTGTGTCCACCCCCTTGTTCCATGCATTATCTGATTTTATCATGACGGTTAAAGGGATAGTTTGACATTCTGGTGGGGAGGATTTCACACCTGACCAGTAGATATGAAGCTACACCAAGCAGCCAAATCGTTTGGCTCCACACAAGGGTGTCATTTTTACACTTTTGTACAGGCTGAGGAGATTAGATGTTAATTAGTGAGCTTTAAATGTACTGGTAGATCAATTTTGATACCTTCGCTCAGAGTCAGTCCAGCTGTTTCCCCTATTTCAAGTCTTTCTGTTAGGTTGCTGGCTGTAGCTTCCCATTTAGTGCACAGATGTGAGTGTATCAGGCTGCCACAGGGGTCAAAATGTCAAACTGCTTCTTTAACTAAGAGCTACAGTGTACGTTAGCATCAGAGCACCTATTTTAATTTCTAGTGAGTTTGTAGAAATACAGCCATCATTATGGAATCATCTATCACATTACAAGAAAACATTAAAGGGGCACTTCACCAAAAACAACAATAAACTATCTTAAATTAAGATTTGATCGTTTAAAACTACCAAACAAGGACATTTATCTGACGGAATCAATTGAACCATGACAACACAACAACCTTTAGAGGCATTGTTGAGCGAAATGCCCCTTTAATGTGCTTCAAATCGTATTAAATGTTGTAGTTAAGTGACAATCAAGCAACTTGTACACAACTTTCGATCCCTTTTCCCTTACGACACTTCAGCTCACTGGCTGATGTTGCACGGCTGCTATATAGACACCAAAAACCCACATCTGACGCCTGCGTCACACTCAACCCATGCTTCAGTTCAGTCATAGCTCTCTTTAGGTTTCTGACCTGCTGACGTTTGTGTAAAAAAAAAAAAAAGAAAAGAAAATCTAAGTGTGAATGTTCAGTGTTGTTTCACAGATTTCTGTTACATGGTGTGGAAATGTTCATATTACCAAAAATTTACTTCAAAATATTCAGATTACTCCAGTAACAGACATAAAACATGGGGATGGCTTTGACAACACAAATCTGTCTCACAGTGCAGCACAATGTACAACACTAACCCAGACATGGGACTATTTGGCAATAATTATTTATACCCAGTTTATTAGGAATACTTTGCTCTATGTTACACAGAGAGGTTTCTCTGTTATTTAGTCTAGCTTCACTGATAAAACAGGGTGGACAAAATATTAGAAACGCCTGTCAAATGAAACACAACAGCACAACAAACTGCAGCCTGTAAAATAAATCAACACCTATCCATACCATTTCCAGCCAAACTGAACATTATAACCTTGCAGGCTTGTTTTACACTGCAGTTTTAGCTATTTGCACCTAATAAATTGGCAATTTAAAGTGTATTTTACTTTAGACTAGGGTTTTTAATCTTTATTTAAATGTGGATTAAATGCAATAGCAAAACAATGACTAACTTTTGTAAAATAACTCAAACAATTGTATCATTCGTATTCCAATTAAAGATCTTCCATTGCATTGAATGATTATTACATTGACCAGAATACAGATTCCAAACGGTGCTACGTGCTTTTAATCCTACAAAGTGAAGGAACCTAAGCTTTATTTTACACAAAACCCACAAAAGCAACAAAAACAAAGACAAGCACAGCTGCAGTTTGTATAACATTTGACTAATTTAGCAAACAAACCATGAGATATCACTAATTGTAAAGGTCTTTTACAAAATTTAGCATCTTTCCTCTCACTACAATAACACACCCCTCGACTCACAGGACATTATACTAAAGGAGCAATAGCATCCATTTGTTTTGCTTTTCATGTGTTAATTAGATGTGTTTTTTTTCCAAAACTGTGTCACCATTTGCATATTTGCTTTATACTGACGGTTCTAAGAAACATCATCAAAATGTGGATAATTCCTGTGGTCCTGAATATATTTTTCCGTCATCTATTTTATCCCAAGTGCATGAGAATTTTGTGGCAGTGCTTCAAGAAAATGGACGGTTTGTTAGTTTTTACTTTGGACAAAGTGTACAGCGGTCTTGATCTGTGCATGAAGCTAGACTAGCTCCTCAGTGTATCCTCCGTTATGCAGATGTATTATCCACACATACCACCTCCTCCCTTAACCCCATTAGCATGTTTGTTGTAGTTGTTTCTATTTATTTCACGTCATCCATTGTGCGTCCGGCGGTGACAATACAAAGACAGTCGTGATGTCCTCGAAGCATGAGCAATACGTACAGTCACTTCTCAAAAGGGGACTCTTATCCATTCGTATGCTGTGGAAGAAAGCATGAAAATGATTGTGATCATTACACCATAATACTGTATCCTGATGACAGTTTAAACATGGGAAGAACTCCTGAATGTAAAAACAAGTTCAGTGTCCATGTGATTTTTCAGTTTACTCATAAAAAGTACACTATTTACAAGACTGTATAAAGCAATATATGGGAAAGTAATGTGTTTGTAATAATAAAGCACCATGTTTCAAACTTACACTGTGTGTGTATTAGCTTCAGCAAAATAAGGGATTGCACAGATCTGCAAATAGTCGGGGCATTTAATCGATGCAGTAAGTCCTGTGCTGTACAATTCATTTAGTACAGTTTCTGTTTTTAGTCTACCCCGAAGTAAAGTGTTGGTAATGAGGACCGCAACTAGCATTTTTGAACTCGTTAGTGCTCTCCCATCTGCTTCCTTCCACCTGGACTCTTCCTGCAGCGGCAGTGGTCGGGAGGAAAATGAGTGATCATGGCCTGGGGTGGAAAGCGTTTGGAGAAGTGAAGACATGCTCGCGATGTGCCCCTCATTAGAGGACCTATCTTTGACATCTGAAGTATAATGGCCAATTATTTTTTTACCTACAGTTTCTTGTCCAACATTTACCTTTTTTCTGATCAACATGAGCTGCTGGTGTTTTATTAAACAGCATACGAGCAAAATATCAGAATTCTAAGTTCTGGTGCCAACGTCCTAAATGTAGAGCTTTTAAAAGGAGGAATAAAAATAAATAAATACATACACCTTGTTGGTGGCGCTTCTGCACCAAAAAAACAAATCAGAGAATTTAATGACATGAATAGGTCCATCTCTCCAGTTCTTTGTATTTAAATACATAATAAAGTTATGTTACAGAATACAAAGGTGGCATTTGAAATCTTTCAGAGCAGCCTATATTATAAATGACAACACTGGCTCATAAAGAGCAGCCATGACTTTGGATATTATATGAACTTCGGAAAAATTCATCCTCATTTTCTTTGCAAGAATACATTAACAAACTGATACTGCTCATGCTATAATCACAAGTTTGAACAACTCTCCTCACCTGAAGTCACCACTCCTAACTCTGTACTGCACAACCGGTCATCCAACACACCCAGGAGGTTGTAAAACTCCTCCCTTTCTGGCCTGAAACGCACCTTTCCATCAAAACCTCTGCACCAAGAACAAAGAAAACCACTGGGAGTTTAATTTCTTTTTTTTTTTAAATAGCCTTTTGAACCTACTTTTGTTATTTCACTTTGTCAATATCTCACCAGTGATGATTGTCTCATGGTTGTTCTGAATGAGGAAAAATGCCAAGATCGTGCATGGGTGCATTAATGAAGTAAGTTCAACCACTGTCAGCCCACTTTACTTTATTAATAAAACAACTTAGTGATGCTGACATTTTGACATGATCTGTCACTGTATTTATTTTGCCTTTGTATATTTGTTACTTCTGTTATGTGTAGAAAAAAAACATCACGTTATCCATCCGCTCATCCTTCCAGCTAACAAACATTGCCTATAACAAATAAATTGCTACAACGGCTTTTTGGATCCTGTGTTTAAAAGTGACACATCACAGCTGATCTTCTCATCTAATTCTAACCAAGAGGGCGTGTGACTAAAGCCGTTTCCCAAAACATCCTTCTATTTCTGCAAATATCCTCTCCTGCAGCATAATTATGCACTTATATCACATTGGAGGAACCTGATCTCAAAACACGACACTGCATAGTTCACACCATCAAAGCTGCAAAGGTTTTGATCTCCACGCAGAATGAAAGTATACGTGTTACAGGAGCTGCAATACTTTAAAGATAAAAAGCAGTTTATTTACACAAGAGATTTAAATCCATCACTAAATGCGGAAGCTGACAGTGTTCCAGAAAACCATCAGTGGAGCACATCTCAGGACTTTTCACGTCGCATCATTTCAAACAGCAATTTTCTGAAACAGACACAACCTGCTGTCAGAACACAGCTGGTTGCTGACAGATTGTCCCCGAAGTGGCCAAACTGCACAATACATCAGGACATAAAGAGACAGAGCCAAACAACGCTAGCTGCGCAATATGCTGTACAAGCTTGACTAGAAAGGCATATAGCAAGACTGAGGGTACAAGTTTAACGTCAACAATGAGTTGGAAAGCAGAAAACAATAGATTTTTTACCCAAATTTCAACTTTTAGAAGCAAAAGACCAAAGCTGTGAAATGTATTTTTGCACACTGACATCCCCAAACTGCAGTGTTGTCAGTTCATTGTTTGTTTGCCAACACAGCAACGCAATGAAAAGATGCCTTAAAATATCCTAAAATGAGGGAATGCAATGTTCACGTGAATGTACTGAATTTCAACATAAAAATTCAATTAGTAAGACAAATATCATATCCATAATCATTAGGTTCAAAGAAGACTGTAAACTGACACTTGCCTTCAAAAGCGTTAAAACAAGAATCTTGATATGCTACAGAGTTAATACTGTCCAACATTTAATGGGCAGCTATGAATAAATAGAGTTCATCTGGTGAATCACTTGATAAGATGATGTATGACAGTCCAACATGTATGTTGACGGAAGGTCACGTTCCTTTGTTTTTCCTGTGGAAAAACCTTCTCAGTGAGTTCCTCAAGGGTCAATCATCCGCAAACTTTCAGTGTGGTGTCAAAGACAATTCACAGGTTAGATTTGGGCCCAGTATTGACTGGAATTGCCCTGAGCTCAGTCCGCATGCACAAGTACTCGCCAATTACAGCCATCAACGCCATGCAGGCTACATTGACAAGCCACCAGGACAGGGCAGCTGGAAGATGAGCGTTATAAATCCAGCAGCCGATCATATGGAAAAAGTGAACAGTGACAGTGAAGTCCAGGCACTGCTTCCCTCGGCGGATGAAGAACCACAGACCAAGGGCACTGCAGCAACAGTGAGACAGAAAAGTCATGCCGTTAGTCATGGTTTTTCTGTGTTTCAGGAAAGATTCTTGTGAATATGTTCAAGATGCCACATATCAAATCTATAAAACGTTATTATCCTATGTAAATAGGCCAACAATGTGTAGCCAACTGATGTAAATATTTAGCTCTAAAGGTGTGAATATATTAACAACTGCAATATATTTAGAGGTCCCACAGCTGTCATCCATTGGATTCTTAGAAAAAAAGACTAAAAACATTTCTTACCATGTAAGAGAATTTAAGATGAATGCCATCATTGAGAGTCTGCCTTGCATGGTTGCAAAGCCAAGGACCTTCCAATGCAGAGCAAAAGTGTAAATACCATTAATGATTTATACCATTTTAGTGCACAATAATATGACACAAAAAATGGTTTCACAGATAGAATATGTTGGAACTCACTTCATAGCTGAAGATCTGGTCCAATGAACGACCACTTTGCACAAGGCTGTCCACTCCAGCCAACCACAGGCCCAAGAAGCTGTAGTAGATGCACTGCATCAGCACAATCTGGCACACAATGAGGACCGGGTCCCAGATGTAGCTACGAAAGTGACTGGCCATCGCTGACAGATGTTACACGTACAGGCCCAAAGGATGTTAGGAACTGGGCCCGATTGTGAGCAGCTGGCCCATCCAGACTGACCTGTGTGTGATCTCAAAATCTGAAATGCAAGAAGTTACCTTTAATTAAAAGCATTAAATTGCTTCACATCTAGGTTTTGATTCTTAGCTCAGTGTTTTAATAGACAGAAACAGAGCAATAACTGTAGGAGCTTCGAGCACATGTAATTATCACAAATATGGATGTTCCATGAAGCAACCTCGGTTGTTAGACAACAAGCAATTGCAATAAATTGTACTGTTGAAAAATGCAGAAAGATGTAATAACCTTTACTTCCTTTTAATTAAGGCGTGTCACTTAAAATTATTAGGATACTGTATTTTGGAGCTGTTAAATTTGTAATTGTTTAAAGCAGGAGAAACAGTCCCTAATTTTATAAGTCCTTTCCCCACATAGTCAGCAAAAAATAATCATTATTATTGGGCCAAGAATTCAATCGATACAACAATGTTCTTTTTATCTTTTTAAAGGTGTAAATGTTAACTTTAAAGTAAAATTTTGCATAAAATCAAAGACTGTGCTGTACTATTATAGCATGACAAAGGCCGATATAGAGATGATTATTTGGGAGAATAAAAAAATCTGATATTTAACAAAAAACTACTGCAGACATAAACAATAGTATTGATTCAGAGTGTACATACTAAGTTTGACATAGCCAGGCTTGCTGCATGTAAGCTGGCTCTACCAAACCCTAAAACCCCAATCAGAGACACTGGGTATCATGGTGGTTACTAGCTTTCTTTGTTAACCCAGGCTTTTTTTTATTAGACTCTGTGTGCGCTCACAGAAAATGGTGAATCTGACGTTTTGTTCGACCCTTCTGTTGCACAAAATGAACTGATGGCGTTGGCATCTCTGCAGTGAAGAGTAACAGGTGGTCATGGTGCAGAGCTGTGCAGAACATAAAACTTTATCACACTATAAAATGAATTTACTGCAAACGACGCAAGAGAGAAATTACGGTAGAAAGTTGTTAATTGTGCAAGATGTTATAGTAATTTTACACCAGCTGCTTCTTTCTAAGGTGACAGCTACACTGCTACAGTGTATGTAAGCTCCTCATCTTACATACATTTAAACATGATCCTCGAAAAGTGCTTTTAGGTCTGACACGGTGCCAAAATTATGATTCAATTTAATATTATCTAAGATAAATAACAACAGACTAATCAATTTTCTAATCTGTGCTCTTCTAGCCTCAGTAACAGCAATTTAAAACAGACTTGGCAGTAACTGAGTTAATTCAAGCTACATGATGACTGGCAGTCACATCATAGTCATTACCGAGCGGCTCTTCTCTACTGCTCAGCGAATGATTTTATAATTGCAAAGTTGTCTGACTGATTCCCAATAGTCATGAGTTGTGAATTCTGCAGTGTTTGCATATGGTCAAATGTTTGCTCAGAGAGAAACCTAGATGCAATAGAAGCCTGGTCTCACACACTTCTGTCTGTGACAGCAGCAGATCAGTGGACACTGAAACAGCCCATTTTGAAGAGAGCTAAACCCAGGGGTCACACAGTCGTGGTAAAAAAAAAAAAAAGGCATTTTGAGCTGGAAATTGAAAGAAACAATCTGAGAACATGTGAGATTTTCATTATTTGTCGTATAAGGGGCACATTCTGAGAGCTTTAATGCAAGAATGAGCCTCTGTGTGAAGATATAGTTCACCTCCACGCTCTCTAAAATAACAACCATTGCCGGCTGCTATGAATAAACACAGAGGTAGTACCTAAGCAGTACATGGGATAAAACTATGGGGATGTGATGATAAGTAAATACAGTCAAACACACAGCAGCGCACACGTAGCTTAGCTGTCCAACCTCCAGGATTAGCAAAAGCAAATTTCACACCGTGTACCCGCCGTTTGATTAGAGACTAAACTACTCAAATCCCACGGTAACATTCAGATTAAATACAATGTGAAAAGGGGGAAATTAGAAGTGTTAACAACACCGAGGTACCTTCGTAGTTTCGCAGTAACTTAAAACAACACAGGAGAAAACCACCGGCCGTGTTAGCATGTTTTTAAAGTGAACAGTTTCTACCAAACACAGAGAACAAACGACACAGACCTGAACCCTGGATGAGAAAGACTTCCGGCTACCGCATTAACAACAGTCCCTTCGGTTGTTTCTGATGTTTAAAGCTCCGTCTGTGTCAGCTGGGCCTTGTATCATGGATGTATTTAGCAGTGAAGTGGCTAAACCTGTTAACAACACGGAAAACACCGCGGTGACCCGGAAAGAAAACCTCACAGCAAACACAGGATTTTCAAAGTAAAATACCTCCATTTATTCCTGACACCACCTGCACTGCTAAAGTACGTCTTTGCAAATGGATCAACTGTAAAAAGGGTCACAATTTACTAAAACCTTGTTGCTATCCATGACACAGTGGCCGTTTTTCCTAATTTACGTGCAAATAATTTACTTTATACGGGAGAAGCGTTTATTTTGAAAATCTTCCATTTTATTTCTACGTGATTGTAGAAGTTGTTTAAAAAAAAAAAAAAAAAAACTTTATTTTTTGAAATAAATCAATTAATTAAGAATTTTTAAATGACCTGATCAGTATAGTCTCATTGCATGAACACAGTTAGAAAATGACCTGTGAACTTTCTCAGTTTTTGACCTGTGATCTATATGCATGTCGTGAAAATGCATGTCAGAAAATGTGATTGTGAGACTTCACAGAGAAGGAAAAAACAAGGATAGAGGAGGATCAATGACCAACTTAAAATCTGTCGAAACGCAGTTGCAGCAATAGTCAGGAGAACAAACTATAGTACCACTAATCAGGACCAAAGTGGTCGTCTTCTTAAAAGTATGCACTTCTACTTGTGCAATCCAGCTGTGACAGACAGGCGAGCAAGTTAAAACAGCTGTCAGTGGTGAGAAACCCTTTCACCTCATTCAGGGTAAATAGAATCAAGCCCTCCCCTTTTCCTGACTTTTTCCCCCTCCCACTATGTTTACTTTCGGTCTGTCGCTGCGTTTACACTCTTCAGCAGGGACTTTGTTTTTCTTGCTACCACGGTGGTAAGATAACTTAACACGACTCTTGATAAGATTTACTATAAGGAAAGTGCAAAGCTCATGTTTGTGTGAGATCCGTTCGTGCAGCGACAGTATAATGTCGAGTCAGGAGTAACAGATTTGAGGCGGTGTTTTGTGTTTGATCCACGTTTTGTGCAGATATTTCCACTTTTAAATCTACGTTACGTCCCACTTGTTTAAAGTTTTAAACTAGTTTAAACCTTTTCTCAGTCAGTTTACTGCCGACTGCATTTTTCTAGACTCAACCAATTTTTAAATATACTCTTCAAAACTGGTGCACATTTTATCTTTTTTCCCAACACCAGTCCTGTGCTGAGAGGTCATGTAGAGCAAAGGTTAATTTCTAACACATGAACAAGTCTTAGCCAGAACGGTCTGGGAGAGCAGAGTGTGTGCTTTACATTTGAACCTGTTTAAGGTATGATCTTCAACTTTACTCCTACATTCACTGAATAGACTAATGGTTTTATGTGCTTCAGTGTTTGATCTTTGCTGATTTATTTTTACAGGACAAACAGAAACACCATAATGTTGAGAGCAGGTCTGAGTGTGACAACTCTAAGGCAGCTAATGGAAATGAAGACAATCCTTAATGTACACGGGAAACTGGCAAGTTTACAGCATGCTGCGGGTACAAATATTGTTTATTCTGTATTGTGTTAAACTGAGAAAGGAAATCACTATTAACCTCAGATCAAATGTTCGCTGTAGCCACTTTTACATCATGTAGTTTGTGGTATTTGTGTAATAGTTAAATTTAGGATTAATATTTAAACTATAATGCTTGTCTGTAAATGTACGACTGGAGTTACTCCTGACTGGCTCAAATTCTGCAAAGATACCATTACAGCACGTCATCTCTCTTCATGGACAGATCTCCATGTCTCAGTGTGTTTTTTATTTTATCAATTGACATGGATATTTATTTGATATAAAAAACAAACAACTTATCTCATTTAACATTATTTATTCTACAATGTAATATTTTACTTGATCCAACACTGGTTCAGAAAATCATAGTCCGCGTGTGTGTGTGTGTGTGTGTGTGTGTGTGTGTGTGTGTGTGTGTGTGTGTGTGCAGCTGCATTCCTTCTATCTGACCTGGTTTGACCTCCCTGAGTTCAGTCCTTCAAGGCCTGGGACAAATGCTTGAATCCTTCTTTCCCCTTCTTCAGATCAGCACAGCTCATACATTAATACACATTAAATGGTGTTTGTGTCAATGCTAAGCTGTGAGTGCTTTTACAAAATTGTATATTTCAACAATACTTGAAGCAAAACCTGATACATTTTAAATACACCATCCTATGTGGTTATCAGGGGAGTCTCTTTGGTACTGTTCATATACTTTTTTTCTTTATCTTTAGGTGCACTTCGGTGGAGGAGCAACGTCAGACCAGCCCCTGTATTGACCGCTGCTCCTGCTCGGGCCCTTATAGATGACAAAATCAGCATTAAAGGGCGCTTCCTGCCCCCACACTGTCCTGTCACAGTGTGCGCACAAATGCACAGTGAAGAGGGTGACTTGTGGCAGGCATTTGGCCATTACAATACAAATGAAAGTGGCATCGTGGATTGTGAGTAAGACGTTTCATTGCACTGCATATTCGCTGGTGGTTTGACTGTAGTATTTCTGTAAATTATAGTATGTGATGAAATTCATGCAGATGAGTAAGTACAACTGGCTCTATTAAATGCTGAATTAAAGGTGAGGTAAAAACTTTAATGTATTACAAATGTTAGCTAAATTGTTCTTTCTCCTACCTTTAATTATATGGAACATTTTATTTTTTTATTCTGCAGAATGTATGAAATTACAAAATAAAAGATGTTAACTCTACATAAAAACAAACTTCTGAAATCAACATATCCAAAGGTCACTGTCAGTAATTGTTGATCAAAGTTACAAGTTGATCTTCATTGTATTTAGTGAGAAGAAATCTTGTAGCAATCATGTTAACCAGACTGTTATGAAGCCTGTGTTTCATTTTATTTCTTCTCACTCTGTCTCTTTGTCCCCTCATTAGTGACCAGCGATCATTCAGTCGGGGGTTCTTATTCTGGCTGTGAGCCGATGGGACTCTTCTGGTCATTGCATCCAGCTCCTGGAAGTAGAGAAGGTTTAAGGCAGGTGACAAAAAACAGCTAAGAGCACTACACAATAAAGTCTGTAAAATCAAACCTTGTCTCCACATTCACATGAAAAAACCCTGACTACACACCGTAAATCCTGGTACTCATGGAGTGTGGCAGTTGCTCAACACAGTGCTTCTACATTTCTGACTGTTCCGCCCTGAAACCTTGCTGCTGCTACAACCACAGGGTGCTCATCGTATAAATCTCTCTGTCAATGGCAGCATCCTGATTGAAGTGTTGCTCTTTTTCTACAGGCTGAGGAAGAAAGATGTGGAGTCTCAGTACACAACACACATCTCCTTACTGGAGGGCCACGTTTCACCCAACGGGGAGCAGATCACGGAGCTGGCAGCTGTGACGACTGAACGCTGGTACATGGCTCCAGGAGTGAGGAGAACAGAGATTCGTCAAAATGGAATCGTAGGGACTTTATTCATGCCTCCTGGTGAGTGTTTGAAGTATTTGTGTAGTGATTTTAAGATTGTTAAAGCAGTGGTGGATAATAATGGTTTTAATTGAGCATCACCTACTGTACTGATTTTCCTGCAGGTCCAGGCCCGTTTCCAGCCATTCTGGATATGTGGGGAATGGGAGGAGGACTGATGGAGTACCGTGCTGCCCTGTTAGCATCCAGGGGCTATGCAAGCCTTGCTCTTGCCTATTTCGGGCACCCAGATTTACCTCCCCCTCTAGATACAATCAACATTGGTGATTCATATTTTAGGGTAGGAGAAGTTACAGGCTTTGCTTTTTCCTGTGTTACTCTTCTTTCTGCAAAATGTACATGTGTCACTTCAGAACACTTCGCATTATGTTGTCATTCCCTAAAAATGTTTGAACAGGCAGCATTACACCTACTTCAAGATCATCCTCAGATTGTTGCAGACAGAATTGGGATCATTGGTCTCTCCTTTGGAGCCTACCTGACTCTTCGCCTTGCCACTCAGCCTGGCGTTAAGGTATGTAACAAGCCTCAGTGTCTGTCTTCAGGTTTTAAATGCATAGTCTGATCATTATCTCAGAAAACATTTGCTATGTCAAGCTAAAATTTCCCAAATATCTGTATAAATACTGATATTTTATGTTATAAAACATTGAGGAATTGATTACAGAGAAACTGATCTAAAAATGTGATGATTTTTACACTAAGAGTCTAGTAAAAGAACAATAATTATTCATGAAGCAACTGACTTGTTTCCCTCCACAGCCATCCTGTTTGATTTGTATCAATGGCCCAATGGGAAGTATGACCCTCCTGCCAGATCTCGACAGCAGGCCTGGCACATTTGATAGGTAAATGACTGGTGGTTAAATATATTGCTTATGGGACATTATCATTGTGGTGTTACCTCTTAAATCCATTTGAACTAATCAGTTTCTGTGTCACTTTTGATAAGCAGATACTAAAGTCTTACGATAAACATTCAAGCCTTCGTTTAACTGTTATTTAATGAGATATTTTACCTTCTGGTATAACCAGGCAGAAAATAATAGCATTTCTCTGCTATTCTGCCTTTAAAGTTTCAATAGGTATTGGGAATATGACGAACAAGGCCATGCCAGTTTCAAGAACCTCTCCCTTCCTGAAAACCTTCCCCCTGAGAGCAAAGTGAAGGTGAGAAGGCAGATTCTTTCTCCCAACCACCAACACACAAACACAAAGACACACATATTGTACCATAATCAAAACTGAAATGATTCCACAGCAAAAACCTAAAACATCAGGAAAGGTAATGGAATAGGAGATAACAAAATACAGAACTTACAATGCGTTGTTTTAATTGATTAAAAAAGAAAAACAGGAAATATTTGTCAGCAGCACTTTAAGGTAATAGAGCATGATAAATGATTTTTTTTTAAAAAGACATAAAACAGCAGGAGTGCATCATTGTTCCATAGAGTGTTCATACGTTTCTATATGAAAATACAACTGGTGGAACTTTTCATTAGGATCAGCGCTTCACATCTCTCCACGTTACCATATCACACTGCTGCTTAGAGAAGAATAAATCCTTGAAGAGATAAGTGTGGCAGTGCTTCAGTGCACATTTCAGTCGTCCACCTTTGCTCTTCCTGCAGCAATTCAGTTTTTCATTGTAATCGATGCTGCCAATTTGCATTATTGTGAAGTCTTGATTTTAAGCAGCTTTTGCAGTAACATTAATTACGGCCAATTCATGCTTTTCACATCTGCAAAGGTACGTGTGGCCTAAATTTTGTCATCCACCAAAGTTTGCTGACCTATTATAGTATAAACAGAGCGGAAAGCATGAATTGGCCTTAGCGGTCTGAACACTGCGTTTGCATGTAGAGATGTTTACTACAACAAGATAAAGCTGAATTAAACCGTTGTCATTGTGCTTAATTGGCTCATCAAACTGTGGCACTGGCTAAAGATTGCTTGTCACAAAATAAATCACACTCGCTGAGCTTATTTTTGCAGATGTGATGTAGTCATGTTGTCCATCAAAGTCACTAACCTGCCGCTCTTTGAATCCTTTAAACAAGTCAGCTTGTCTGTCAGCGAGATGCTTTGCCGAGTAGAACATGTCAGCTCCTCCAGTCTTTGTAGGTTCTATAAGGCTTCTTTTAAAACAATGGCATTCATCAAGTACTGATGAAATGGAGAACAGAATCATTTTTGATGGCAGATTAATTTAAGACCTTTCCAGTGTCTGTATACCATGCCACACTACCCACATGTATATAACTTATCCCACGAACATGTCTTGTAACATTTGTACAAACTCTCCTAAACATTGATCTCTTGTGTTTTTGCAGGTAGAAACCATTGATTGTCCACTGATGTACTTAGTTGGTGAAGATGACTTGAGCGCTTCAAGCAAAGAGAACGCAGACGTGGTAGACAGTTTCATTTCTATATATTTTTTTGTGAATTAATTGAGAAATACTAATTAAATACTCAGTGTTTTGTTGTACTGTCGCTTTAGAACTTTTTTCGAAAACACATTCCCCCTAGCTATAAATTAACCAGATTTCCCATCTCACAGACTTGTTGTACAATAGTTGGTTGTTTTTACAATGGTTATTTATTGATTATCAGATTGAGGAGAAGCTGACGGCTGCAGGTAAAGCCCATCTGTTCACCCGTTTGTCATACCCCGATGCTGGCCACCTGATAGAGCCGCCTTACGCACCGAATGCAAGAGAAGTCATGTGGCGCGTCAAGCCAAGTAAAGGTAAGCTTAATCCCAGAACTGCATTTTTAGTTTTAACACTAGTCTATACTTGATATAGCATTTTAACTAAGAATTCCTATGGTATGATATGGAGTATGTACTTTTTTGTTTGTCCTGCAGTGATAACTTTGTTTGGAGGTCACCCTGCACCGCACGCTGTTGCCCAGGAAGATTCCTGGAAGAAGATTCTGTATTTTTTAGAACGCAATCTGAGAGGATGAATCTCTGGTGAGATGCAAGCTCCAGATAGAAAATATCCCATGTTGTTGTAAAATGTTGTTGCTATTATTTTTCTTTCCAAAAGATGGCACTGGTCGGACTGGAACTGCTGGTTCACACATGCAGCTTTTGTGATGTCAGCTGGGTTTGGTTTCAAGTTCTTCACATCAGCAACGCTACATGTCCTTTTTGTATCAAATCAATGGTTTTTTCTGTAAATGTATTGAACCAATAAATGAGTGGATGCATAAAAAAAAATTTGGCTAAACAAAGACAAAACTGAGATAGATATATTTGGACCAAAAGAGGGGTGATTAGAAGTCAGCACACAACTCCAATCTATACAAATAAGATCCACAGAGCAGGCTAGAAATCTGGGTGTCATCATGGACTCAAACCTGAATTCTGAAAAACACATTAAGGCCATTACAAAGTCAGCCTGCTACCACTTAAAGAGTATATCAAGGATAAAAGGACTGATGTTTCAGCTGGACTTGGAAAAACTTGATTACTGTGACAGCATTTTTGCAGGTGTACCTAAAAAAATCAATCAGACACCTGCAACTGATTCAACAGGCCACTGCTCGACTCCTCACCAAGACCAAGAGTGGATCATATCGCTCCACTTCTGAGGTCTTTACACTGGATGCCTCCGACTGAAGTTATTTCACTAAACTAGTTCAAGAATCTTAACACTTTGTTATAATTTAGCTTTTAAACTTTATACACTTTTTAAAATTTTGCAATGACTTGTTTTAATGATTTTAAGTGGTGTCTTTTAATGGGTTTCTTCTGATGTTTTAATGTCTCTGTAAAGCACTTTGCTGTTAAAATGTGGTATGCAGGTAAACTTGCTTTGCCTTTATGTGCTGTCATCATTTATCATAAAAGTAAAACAAATGATTGGAGTTGGTCAGGATCACGTCATCTCATTCATAGACACCAATCACTGAGCCCCGCTTCAAAAATCCACACTCTCTGTTTCTGTGTTCCTGATATTTTTAATGCGTAATCTGTAAACATGTTAACTATTTTTTATGGTCGGATGGGATGAAGAGTTCGTGGCACGCCGAGGTGACCATGGCGATGAGGGCAATGAACTCTTTGAAGTCAATCTCCAGGTCTCCGTTCTGGTCGAGATCAGCAAATAGCTCATCCAGAGTGTCATTCTCTTGGATTTTCTGTTCAGTTAGAAAATTGAATGAAAGTCAGTCACATGCAGGAAATAGACAGTACCTTTACCGAGACTGCAAATCTGTAGCAACACTAGTGACTCCATGAGGCTGAAATGCTCACTACAAACCAGGAAAGTGATGAAAGATGGAGAAATGCTGCTGACTTTATCCTCGTAGTTTCATCGCAACAACTGGACTTGCTTGAGTTCCTTGAAGACATTTCACTTCTCATCCAAGAGGCTTCATCAGTTATGACGGAGTAGTTGGGAGTTGCAGATACTTTTATCCTTAAGGAGCCATTAACACTTCAGTTTGGGTTTCAGTTGGGGGTTTGTTGCTCCTCCCTCTCGTTATGTGAGTCCTTATTACTCCCCCTGCCACAATGGGGTTCGTTAAGGTCTTTTGTGGCTGGAATGATGGGGGTTAATGGCTCCTTAAGGATATAAGTATCTGGAACTCCCTACTAGTCAGTCAGAACTGATGAAGCCTCTTGGATGAGAGGTGAAACGCCCTCAAGAAACTCAAGCAAGTCCAGTTGATACGATTAAACTACGAGATTAACCATGACCTGGATGACTGAGAATCTTCACAGACATGTTGAGTTTATCTTTTTTACGTTTGACAAATAGAGTCTCAGCTGTTGCTGAGGCAACATTCAACATGATGTTAGCATGAAGCAAAAAAATCAAAAAGGTATCTATAGCTTCAACCAAATTCAGTCATGCTGGTATGTTTGACAAACATGAAGTTAAAATTCATCATCAGGTGACCGCGAATCATTGTTTCAACTTTCGTGCCATTTTTCTGAACATTTTAATCCCACTGGTCCCTTCCAGTAGACACAAACACGGTTGATAAGAGTCCGTTATCAATAAGCTGTTTTCATGAGTTATTACAAGAATTATTCTGTGCTGCCATAAACATACCAACTTTTAGATGCACAACTTACCATGATGAAGTGATTCATCTCGTTGTTGATAAGATCTTTGAGCTCTGCTTTCTTCAGCTTGCGCTTGAGACCCGAGTATTTGTGGAAAACTCGAATGATAGTGGCCATGCCATTCTCCAGGTCTGACATAGGCTCCTTTGAGGCCTGCGAGAAACAGTTTGCAGTCATTTATTGTGCTCCCTCACACGGTTGTTGTCATGGAAATACTTTCTCTGTATGTTTTTTTTATTTATTAAACACACCACATGCATGCATTGGTAACTTATCATATTGTAGTATTGTTATTTAGAAAGCAAACAACATCAAATTTGCTTTTTATCTGGAGCATTTAGTCTTTCTTACCTCCATCTGTAGAAGCTCCTCTGCCTAGTAAGGATCCTTAGTGAAACTGAATCCTCGTGTAGCAGTGTGTTGTCCGCCTCGCCCATATTACTGTGGACTCCAAGCTGTATTGATCAGCCACTTAACGGCTGGTCATCTGCCGTACGCTACATAATGCACGACTAATGGATCAGTGGTCAGTCTCTGACCAAACACCATCCCCTCTTAAAATGACTGATTCATCCAGTGTGTGTGTGTGTGTGTGTCTGTCTGTCTGTCTGTCTGTCTGTGTGTAGGTCTAGACTATGTAGTGTACAGTTTCCTCTAAATGACAACTATTGTTATAGATAAGCTACAAGTGATGGGGGGAAATGGGTCAATAAGATTTGAGCTTTAGAAATAAAATGTTTGTTTTATTTTTAGATTCTGTAATGTTTTATTATGGAGTTCCATGTGCACACACCAATTTAAGCAACAAATGTGAATTTTGCCACAATTTTGTCTATAAAGCTCGCATAAAGGTTTCATGGAGCTCACCCTGTATGACTTCTGTAATGGCATTTAACACTGCATCTGTGGTCTTGGCGTGTCTCCTAACAGGAAGAGATATGAGGGATGGTCAGACCTGATCTCCAGCCTCACTTAGTACACCACAGCAGGAATGTGGTTATACTCTCGCGTCAACTAAAGCAGGATGTACTTTATAACATGAGCACAGCAGCCTTAGAATGTCAGATACACAGTACGTCTGTGAAACAGCAGAACACTCTCCACAGGGTGTTTGTTCGAATGAGTCAGTCTTTAGATATGATTACTGCGGTTTTATTATATTATTTATGTAGCGGAAATGTGGGGCAAGCATTTCCTGCCAGTAATTCACCACCCTTTTAGCTCCTGGAGGAAGAGATGGACGTACTCCACATCATTCATGTTACAGACGCATTTATTTTGGAAAGACAGCTGCTAACACACTGACTTCTCAAACACGTTTTAAAGGGAAGAATAAGAAAATCAAAAATAGTTGTTTCTAAAAAGAGGTCTGTATCATCTTAAAACTATTTAAGGTGCTGGTTGTAAAAAGTGATGTAATGCTCAGCTGTAACTTGTTTGACAATGTTTCTTTCTCTTTGGTTTAATACACAGTATTTCTTGCTGTAATGTGTCGTATCAGAAAGTAATGTGAAGAGAAGAATTCAGATGTTTTCAGGAGATAACAGACAGTGGTGTAGTTACAGTTGATTAAATATGAGAGGAGGAGAAGGATAGGAAACCTGTGGGAAAAGATTGCTTTCTATACTTTCCCTCTTCCTCCTGTTAGAGGTATAACTTTTGTCATTTTTTCTACAATTTAACATCACCACTTCTGCACATTCAGCCATTATCAATGCATTCTTCGTCTTATTACTATTATTATTGTCATCAATGATATTGATGTTACCTGACTGTTCCTCAGTTTTAAAAGCTTTTAAAAACACACCTGTACAGACAAGCATTTTCTCTAATGTTTATGCTTGGTTATTGGTCTTCGAAAGGTTGCAATGTTTTTATTGTTTTTTGTTTATTTATTTTTAATCTTTTACTGCTTCACCTAGTGCTTTGTGTATTTTAATTCTTTGTGAAGCAACTTGTAACCCCTATTTTGAAAAGTGCTGTAGAAAATTAAGTTTGTTGTTGTTGTTGTTGTTGTTGTTGTTGTTTTGGAGGAGGAGGAGTTGCTCTAGGTGTGGTACATTGTGGGCCCATCAGATGGTTTGTAAGTAGAACAAAAGTGAAACAGATTGTAAAGCAAACATAGAATTATTATATGAGCTTTATTTCTATGTTCTAAGTGTTGCGTTGCAAATTGCAGTTTTATCAAAATATCTCAAATTATTAGTTACATGTTGACAAAGGTGATTAAACTGATGCGAACAAACAAATTACATACACAAGAGTATGTGTTTGGGGTTTTAGATTTTTCTCTGTTTCACTTTTGTCTTGTGCAATATTAGTTTAACTTCTTGAGGCTTCTTCAAATCAAACAACCGGCACAGGAACTTTTGTTCACAAGTTGAGTGTCCTGCTGTGGAGGGTTGCAAGCAAACACACTGTTTTAATAAATTATTACCATTTTAAAGCAAAACAGTGCAGTGCAGTGCATTTCTTAAAGTAGATTTTGTTTTCTTGCATAATAATCATCCTGGACTTAGACTGGTCTCACAGTTGTAGCAGATCAGACTTGTATCATCACCTTCATACACTTCACATTTGCTGAGAGCCAATGGCTGTGATTCAGGTGTGTGACAGCTCTGCCGAGTAGGCTGGTTTGGGCATATGCACTGTCATAAAACAATCTGTTACAAAACGGTGAAAATCAGGAAGCAAGGGTGGTTTAAAAAAATGTTTTAAAAAAAAGAGAGAGAAAAAAAGATTGAAGTACTGTAACATTAAAAAACAGTAAAAATGGTCACACATTGTTAAAGGACGAATTAATATTGGTTAAAAAAAATAATAATAAATACAGATTTTTGATGTAGACATTAACAGTTTTGGCCTCTTTTTTAAACATTAATGTGTAAGTTAATATTTTTTTCTGAGATTTTACTGGATATTATCTGTAATTTAACAAAACAGGAAAAATCCGTGAAATACTGTTAAAAAAGAATTAAATGTATTTATTATTTTCCAGTCTTTGATATGTATATTTTTTCTTTCAGATTACAGCAAATAGTTGTAAAATAATATTATTTTTGCTGTTTTCTGTGATTTCACTGGTCATGATGTGTAATTTAACAAACAGGGAAATTTTGAAAATTAAATACAAATTATTAAAATATATATATAGTTATAAACTGATCATTTAAAAAGTTCAGTTTCTACAGTGTGAATGTGTATTTTATGTTAAATCTGTTTTCACGTAACCCCCAGTCAACACCTTTCATCACACTATTACCATGGATCTACCATTACACCCCTGATGCCACTTAACCCAATTAACAGAACACAATTGACCCATTCCATGCACATTGTTGCTTGAGTTAATAAATCAGCCAACACTCTTGACTCTCAGTCTTGTGCATTTTTCTGTGTGCAGACAAGGGTCCACTCCAGGTGCTGTGGCCTGAAAGCAGACTTGGACATCCAAAGGTTAAAGTGCGTCGCCAGTCTCGTCCGCAGCGAAGGCTTAGAGAGCACTGCCATCCAGTGACGTTTAAAAGTTGACAACAGACAAGAGCTGCAACAAGAAATGTATTCAATCAGTTCTGCTTTATGCACCTTCTTTTTATGCTTTTACTTCTGATTATACCAGCACCTTCTATTTAAATGCTGTAGCTACACATATGTTTTCATACTACCGCACCTTCTATGTACATTTCACATTACTTCAAGCCGTTACATTTTCATAAATGTTCAGCAATGTGCAATATCCAGCATTACAACATCAATTGCACTACTGTTTTTATAGTGTTCTGATTACACCAAATAAGCTATTCTTACAACAGTAACAGTAAGATGTTGTTTTGAAGTGTTTGTGTTTGTGGGCTACCTACGTGTGAAATGCCATTTGAGTGTTTTCTGCTGCAAATCAATTTCCCCACGGGGACAAATAAACATCTATCATCATCTATCAGTATGCTATATGACTATTCTCGTACTTATTATTTACTGTATTTTTATATTTGCTGATTTCTTAGCGTTTTTTTTTGTTTGTTTGTTTTTTTTTTAATAATAAACTGTTGTCTGATTGTGTGAATGCACCAACAGGATTCGTGCTTAAATCTGTGGAATGCTATGCAGTGACAATAAATGAATTCTATCTAGCTTTCTAGTTGTCACCTATTACTTTAA